GATTGGCTGTCAATGTATATATTGTTCATCAGCTCTAAAAAATTGTTCTGATGATATTGTTCCTTGTGTTGTTACCATTATGGCCATGGAATTGCCAATTCTCATAGAATTCAAGCACGTTCACACCAAGAACGATAACCAAAAATATAACTATATTAGCGTCTACATCATGATAATGTTCTGTTTAAATACGAGCGCTGTTTCGGTGCTGCTGCTGCTTTAAATTTGCAAGCTCTTTAAACAAGAGTGGATTTTGATTGGCTGTTAATGTTTTTATCGTTCATCAGCTGAAAAAATCTTTCTGGAAGTTATTCCAACAATATCATTTCTCTGCGTTGCTATCACTATAGCTGCTTTGGATTTCCCTATTCTCATAAAGTTACGGTCTTTTACACCAAGAACAATAACTAAATTGTAATGATAACAATATTAGCATCCACAACAACAAATTATAATGCTCTGTTTGTTATAAGTGAGAGCGCAGTTATGACGTCTGCCACTTTAAATGTGGGGTGAATTCTGATTGGCTTTTAATGTTTTTATTGTTCATCAGCTGGAAAAATCGTTCTCAAACAATGGAGTCTTTACAAAACAGTTTTAAACTGCAAACTTGCAAAAGTGCAAGTTTTTAAAAATTATACTGTTTCCGTCTCCATGTAAGCTACGAAAAAACTAATTTGTGAAAACAGTATTGTCATGCACATGTGTATTACCTGTTCACTCTATAGATATTTGTATGTGTACAGGTGCATATTGTTTCTTTTACAAAATGACATCGCCATCTACTGGTCTGGCATGCATAATACGGCGTTTTTAGTCATTTTCATGAATCTGTGTAAACGGGAACCGTGTACATACTGACTGACAATGTAGTTGTCTGTACATGAAATGTTTCAAAAATGCAAAAGAGAATTTTTCCATCTTAGTAGTGTTGTCGTGTAAATGTACCGATTTCAACAATATTGTTCCTCTGTGCCATTTTCACCATAACTGTGGTGTGGACTTCCCTACTCTAAAATTAGAAATATAATTAAAACCTACCTTCCTTTGTGTGAACAAGCTTATACCAATGAATACAAAATATCCAACGACCACATCAAAGTGTCTGTTGACCCTGGCATTCTCATTAAACCTTCTTAACCATCAGGACGCTCAGTCGTAAACTTACAGTCATGTTGAGATCCTTTCTGGTGAAGTGAGGAAGCTGCACTCTGTTCAAACTGTGAAGCAAGTTAAATTGATCATTTTTAAAGACAAGAATCTCTGAAGACGATGCGCCAAACCTCTGTCAGAAGGAATAAAAAATGACTGTGCTGGCTCGTTTTGCTTACATTCCATCCTAAACTCAGCATTACAGTCAAATCAAGGGCATTTTATCCTACGTTTAGCATGCATTGATCTAACAGATAACAGCTCACTGCCTGGTGTGAACAAACTGAAAAAAATCCCCTTTGAAAGACTGGTAAAACCAGACATGGGGGAAACTAAAAGATGTGCACAAACAGATGCACAAAGAACATAGACAAACACACGCTCATACAAATGCACCCAGACAGCACTCTCACACAACATCACCTTCAGAAAAACTATAAAAGGACACTCCCTCATATCTTGCTGAGATTCCCAAGTCATCGTCAATGTTAGACTATCCATCCTTCCTGAAGAATAGCCCCCATTGTAGCCTGGGCAGGGGCAGGTGCTTAGTGGGAGCCCCCCAGGCCACAGGTTTAGATGTATTGGGAACATATGGAGGGAAGGGTGGAGGTTGCAAAGAGGTTGGGGTGGGTTGCTTCTGTGCAGTTGCAGTGCCACAAAGGATTCATTCATGGCCATAGAGTCGCACATGTGGAGATGCCACAAGCAATGAAACAGACAGCGGGTGGTGAACATATTTTACAGAAATAGGGATCCACCCTCTATACCTTGACATCAAGACCATAAAACGTTATTCATCAAATGATTAACATAATTATCTAAACCCCCTAAGGAGCTTTGACATTTGATTAGTCTTGTATAAATAATATAAATAAAAGCAATAATAAAAATACATTTAAAAAGAATAAAATACAATATAATGTAATATTAAAAAGAAATAAACCAACTTAGGAGTTTTGTCATTTTGATCGATCTGATATTTTTAAAAAATTAATAGGATACATAAAAGCAATAATAAATAAAAAACAATACAAAATAATAATATTAACGATATAAGTAAATAAATATTTATTATATGATAAATATACAATAAAAATAATAATAACAAATAACAATTAATTAATTAAAATTAATGATTTAATCACTCAATGAATGAATGAATGAAATGATCAAACATTTTAGAGAAAAGATTTTGGGTGTCCTTCATTCCTTTTGTCTGTCTCGCTCTCTCTGCTTGATGTATTTTGGCCAATTGACTGAAGCATTGTGATGGATTTGGTTGCATGTGCTTTGGATCATCTGTTGAAGCTCCAGGTATATTGAGGATTTAAATTGGCAGGAAATTCTCAGCTGAATTCCAACACCCAGCCCCCTATGACAAACTTATCATCCCGCTCTTGCACAAGGATTCAACCAGAAAAATCTTCACAAGCCACCCAAGAAGCCAGTGTCCAGAAACTAACAATAGGAGTAAAAAAGCATGTAAAACATAAATCATGTAAAAATTTAGGAGTGTGCACATATGTGCAGCTCTGGTGACAATGATTGATTGTAATGAACGCTTCATATCACAAACTTTCATCATACCCTGAATGATGAAAACATAACATAATTTTAAAGAGAAATTAGGAAAATTTAAGTTTGTATAGCTACAACAAACTTGACAAAGTGAAAATGATGATGCTTTAGAATATTTAGCAGGACAAAAAAGCCCCCACTAAATCATTGTCTCTAATGGTTTCTAACAGGCAATTTAAACCATTTATCTGCTAAAAGCCATGCCCACAACAACAGGCAACACTTCACCTAATCTAAACTGGGAATTTAAGGGATAAAGGCATGAATGTGGCCATTACAGCTGTGCACTCCTCCCAAGGTTACATAGAGGTCTTATCCTGATGTTTGTAACACACAATAACATAGCTTCATGACAACTCTCATCATTAGTCCATTCCTGATAGGGCTGAAGAGAGACATAGTTTACTGCCTTTCCCCAGGGACAGGCATTGGCTTCTATAATCACTGACTAGTATAGAGTCTGATACCTACGTACCTATGTGCCACCATCATACCAAAGAGCATGTGAATGCAGGGTTGTGCCCAGAGCTGCTGCCATGTATTCTGTTTGTGCTGGGTTTAATTTTAGGGATGCAATCACGTCAAACTTCCCTCTGCTTTTGTGAGAGGCTTCTGGGGCCTCCTCTCAGCTGTTGCATTTGCTGGCTCCCCTTCAGACCTTCGGTTTCCAGTAAACAGCATGACAAACTGAAAAAAAGAGTGCAATCAAGAGGCAGATTGTCAGTGCCTGTCTGACAAATGGACAGACATAAACAGTTGGAAGAGTCGCAGGGCTACATTTGAGATTCAGAAAATCTGCTACTTATACAACCTGCAAAACAATAGATGACCAAATAGCTTTGCATTTAGCTATTATTTCTTTCTTGAAGGTGAAGCTTTCTAGACAATAATGGTTAATCTCTCCAAAATGTATGTAAACATACATAATGAAATTAAGCAATGAATTGGCTCAGACAAAAATGTCAAATAGAAGAGTGTTGCAGCACATTTTGTTTCAGTCACTGAAACTTCTTGTTTTTTGCTATGTTTTTCAAACTTTGATATATTATTCCCATATGTATCTGCTATAAATTGAAGTACTTTGGAAAAATAATGTTAAAAATCAAAATGTAAAAATGCTAAAAATGTTAAAAACCTTACATTTTGTGTGTGAGTCATACGACTGTGGCAAATATAGACAAGCAAATGGAAAATATTACAACCCTCCCCATCTGCTCATGATATTTGTATTTTAAACATATGGATGAAAGCTAGTAAAAGCTGGATGCTTTATATCACTAAACAAGACAATCTGCTGATGAAATTAAGCAATGAATTGGCTCAGACAAAAATGTCAAATAGAAGAGTGTTGCAGCACATTTTGTTTCAGTCACTGAAACTTCTTGTTTTTTTGCTATGTTTTTCAAACTTTGATATATTATTCCCATATGTATCTGCTATAAATTGAAGTACTTTGGAAAAATAATGTTAAAAATCAAAATGTAAAAATGCTAAAAATGTTAAAAACCTTACATTTTGTGTGTGAGTCATACGACTGTGGCAAATATAGACAAGCAAATGGAAAATATTACAACCCTCCCCATCTGCTCATGATATTTGTATTTTAAACATATGGATGAAAGCTAGTAAAAGCTGGATGCTTTATATCACTAAACAAGACAATCTGCTTATTCAGATGATACCAGTCATTTAATCTTCATGATCATCATGACATTAATTTGACTCTTTTTATATCTCAAAGTTTGTTTTCAACTGTAAATCCTTTATATTTTACATAGTGCCTTATAACTTCGACTATAACCTCTGGAAGGTGATGGTCAAGCAATGATCTCATCAATTAGCATATAATTAGTCATTTAAAAAAATGTATGCTGTTCTCTTCAAGAGAAGGCATGTTTTTGGCAATTACTTGGCGTAACTACTGAGTGATGACACAAGGAAGAAACTATTTTGTACATTTGAAAATGTGAAATCTCGTGCGTGTATTGTGGACGTAGTGCAGCCTGCATTACCTTTCGCAGGTACCCGCGTTCCCACCGCACGCTTGATGGACGTTCCCAGCGCAAACATTTATCTTCACATCCCAGTCGCTCCTCCCCGCAGGGGCAGAGCGGCGAATCAAAATGCGCTCAGGACTTGGACTCCTTTCCAACGTGGGCTGTGGAGTTAAACTTGTGGTGGAACGGGGGACGCCAGATCTTATCCACACCACACAGCGGCCAGATACCTGATCGTGCTTGGATGGAGGGGCGAAACCCGATCGCCTGATGTGCTGCCTGAAACCCAGAGGAGTGACTTATCAGGACACGCTCAAAATGTCTTCTTCCTCAAGCGAGGTCTTTAGTGCCGATGAGATCAAGAGGGAGAATCGTGGGAGTGTCAAGCTGTCAGTGCTGGACCCCGCGGAGTTGCCGATGGAGAATGCCGAACTTTTGGACGGCTCACCGGCCTCCCTGGCCTTCTCCCCCGAGCAGGTCGCATGCGTCTGCGAAGCGCTGCTGCAGGGTGGGAACGTGGAGCGCCTGGCCAGGTTCCTCTGGTCACTGCCGCAGAGTGACCTGCTGCGAGGGAACGAGAGCATCCTGAAAGCGCAAGCGATAGTCGCGTTTCACCAGGCCCGCTACCAAGAGCTCTACTGCATTCTGGAGAACCACAGTTTCAGTCCGCCAAACCACTCGTCTCTGCAGGATATGTGGTACAAGGCGCGCTACATCGAAGCGGAGAAGGCGCGGGGCAGACCGCTGGGTGCCGTGGACAAGTATCGCTTACGCAGGAAATATCCGCTGCCTCGGACTATCTGGGACGGAGAGGAGACCGTGTATTGTTTCAAAGAGAGGTCTAGGAACGCGCTGAAGGATATGTACAAGCAGAACCGGTACCCATCTCCAGCCGAGAAACGAAATATGGCCAAAATGACAGGACTTTCTCTGACGCAGGTCAGCAACTGGTTCAAAAACAGGAGGCAGAGAGACAGAAATCCATCCGAGGCGCAGTCAAAAAGGTAAGCCGCAGTTATATTTAAATCGTTAATCGAGAGCGGAAAACGTATGATGGAATGCGCGAGAGCGAACGGAGGACACGTTTCACCAATGTTTTGAAATAGGAAGCTTGGAGCGCTTCAATGAGGTGCAGTTTAGAAGAACGTGGAGACCATGAAGCGTTTACTCTTAAAAATAAAGGTTCTTCGGCTCATCAAAGAATCATTTTCTTATTTAAAGCCATGTTGGCTTCTTGAGTTGATTATGGTACTTTAAAAATTAAAAAGTTCATGATGCACTATGGATTGTTCAGATGAGTCTAGACAATTTTTTTAAAGTACATTTTTAAGTAGAAAGGGCTATTTGAAGAATTGCTTTAAAAGTTCTTCTTTCCCGCATTTTGAGTTGTTAGTTCAGCTCAAGCCTCTTTTAACGATGTAGACATTTCATAAATTGGCCAATTTAATTAAAAGGGTCACATTAATTGGATAAGCAAAACAAAGACCTGACAAACATTTTAACGGACATGTTGCTGCTTTCAAATACAACCCCAACAGACCCTAGTTTTACTTTAGATATGATCAGCCATTACATTACCATAGCCATTGTCTATGTTTGTTTCTGGATTTTAAAGCCATTGTCCCACCCTGATAATCAGTCAGAGAGATCTGCACTCAATCTCCTGACGTGGCCAAAATCCTCTTCACAGCTTGAGGCATCTGAGGCAGATAAGAAGCAGCTCTGTATTTGTAAACTTTTGCTTGCAGATCGTTCAGAGTTTCAAACTGCGGTGGAAATAACACTTAACCATTATGCCCGCAAAAATGCTGCTTCTATCATAAATAATAAATCTTGAGACTCGTAAATAAGGGTGGTCAGGCTTTTCCGTGTGCGTCAAGGGTAAGCGCTGCTTTGATGTTGCACTGTCAAACCCTGACAAAGATAATTACTCATTGTTTGAACGAAGATGTCCATGAACTCCTTATGGAAGCTCTTTGGACGAGAAAAGACCAACGGCTTGTCATGTCAATAAGATCTTTGTATAGATGCGGCTTGGCCGCTCGAGTCACTGTGAACGATGCACCCGCAGCTGTCATAGTCTGTAAAGAGACCCACCAAATGCCTCCAAGAGCTCAGATCCTTTTATCTGATTTTTGACCCCGGGGGGCAAGAGGTCCACTTTAGAATTGATGACTGAGATATTTACAGAAAATAATTTTTATTTTAGCGGTCTGCTTTTAGAAGCGCACAAGAGGTCGACTTTAATAGTATTTGTGATTGCAATGTGCTTTAAAATTGGACAGCTGGTTTATAAAGTTTATTTCCTAAAGTGTTTCAACACAAGTGCATATAATGCTACCGATAAAGCAGTTAGTGGCATGCCTTAGTACACACTTTCTTCATTGTGAAATTCCAAAGTATTTTTAATTCGCTGATTATGAGAGAAACAAATAAACAAGAAATCAAATGGAAAATGACTTTTTTTGACAGATTTAAAGTACACGGGTTTACCAGTTTGCCAGATAGATTTTCAAATGATTATGGGCATTTTAATACTATTTACTGTTAGTAAATTTAGTGAAAGTTCTTCAATTAATATGTAGCACACTGCAACAATTCAAAATGAACAAAATAAATTCATTTTATTTCATGTTACTTCAACAAGCAAGATCTCATGCCAAACACAATTTTTTTTAGCACCAAAGCAATAAAATAAACCTTTGGTCTGTTTCTTAACATTTTTGTATTTTTTCAGTGAGTCAGATGGCAATCACAGTACAGAAGATGAGTCCAGTAAAGGCCAGGAGGACTTGTCACCACGTCCCCTCTCTAGCGGCTCTTCTAGCTCAGTCGCACACGGAACAGCCCCCCCTACAGTTTACTCGGATGGAGGAACCACAGTCATCCAACAAATTGGAGATGTCAAAATGCCTGCACACCTAGCTGGAGGAATGAGTTTTAACGGTGATCTAGCAAGTGTGAATGCTCACTACATCAACGGTGGAGCCTACGTTCAGTCACACAGTAGCAATGCTCTCCTGAATGGACTTGGCGCCACGAGTGGCCATTTCTTGACCTTTGATCCCCAGAGGGTCTCCCATCACAGTCAGGAGAGGCTGTTAGGTGGGTCTTGTGTGTCTTATGCTCCGTTCTCAATGGGGGTTTCTGAAACTGCCTCTGGAAAGCTGGAGGCCATGCAGACTCTGGTTTCCAATGCTGAAGATGGAGTCATTTCTTCAGTGGTCTCCTTCGCTTCGGCCCCCTCCACTCCATCCACTACCTCAGGAGGCCTTCATCTCAGCAGTTACAGTGTGGTCAATCTCCCTGGAAGTGAAACCACCATGGGGCTTCCTCCTTTAATGCTGCTCCCATCCACAACATCATCCACTCACGGTAGGAGGCCATTTATTAGATACTGTATATTGGGACAGTTTACCCAAAAATCTGTCAGAATTCATTAACTTTCATGTTCTTCCAAACCTGTATGACTTACTTTCTTCTACAGAACACAAAATAAGATGTTTTGTGTATATAATAAATGTCATTGGGTTCACTGTTGTTTTGGATACCATTAACTTTTGTTTAATGGGCTTTTGTCAGCATACAGATTTGGAACAACACGAGAGTGAGTAATTAATAATGACCAAATGATACATTTTTGGGTTATTTCTTTCTGTAAATTGGGTATATACATAATGTTTTCCTGACACTTCCAGTTCAAAATGGCTGATTTGCGCCTCTGCGCTCAAGCATATGTCTCTGAAGATACAATAACAACAATATCTAAAGTAGTCCGAGCACTTCTAGTGAGCTCATGAGAGCCAGAGTAATTACATCATCACTTTGGAGAATACTGTGACCGAACATTTATGTGGTTAAGCTTGCCAAAAGTGACCGCAGAGCTCAGTGCAAAAGAGCAGAGGTTTTGCAAGAAAGCCTTGTGGGTCACGGGCAGTTGGAGTGCATTGTGGGTGAAGTTGTGAGAGGCATGTGGGGGTCCAGGTCAACTGGCTAGAGGATCATACCAGACGCAGTCTCTCAACACGGTCCCCACCTCCCCTCCATGGCCCTAACCACTCACTAATGGTTCTTTCCATGAATATTTTATGGCCACATCAATAACAGCAAGGCTAGCTGCGTTCTGCTCCTCTCTCGCTCGTCTGTTTTATCCTTTAATATGCAGTTTACGAGCCACATAAAAACAAACCCACCCCTGGCTGAACTTTTGATTTAGAAGGAAAACAGTTGAGCCCAAACGATCCAGCAAAAAAAAAGACGATATTAAAATTGTTTAGCCAAAACCATGTTTCCTTGTGCCCATAATTTTTAAGGCATTTCAATAAAACATAAACTTTGATCTCCAGTGCCTCACAAATAAAAAAGAAACAATAGAAATTTCCTTGCAGCACCATTTTGCCTATGAAGTCAAAACTTGCGAGATATGGTTTCAGATTTTTCTTCTGCATAGTCGTCCAGATGACAAAAGGGGACTGAGTAAACCGTATAAGTCAGATGGAAAGAAAATATATTCCTGAACCCCTCTATACAACAACCCTCTCCCACAAGCAATGTCTGCAGGAAGCTAAAGAAAACTTGGTTCTAGTTTCAGAAAGTGAGCGAGTATGGAGAGGGGGAGGAGGGGTTTGGGCGCTGTGATTATTTATCAGACATTTGTGCAAGCCTAATGGAAGAAAAGTGTCTGGCCGAAAGCCAGAGGCTGTCACTGCAAGAGACGTGCCAAGAACCACATTCTAGAGTTACAAGGAAATCATAGCAAGTCTAACCGCAAACAGAAAATGAAAAAAGGTGTTTCATTTTGCAGTTCACTAGAAAAGTTCTGAAGAAAAGAAGCAAGAGAGGTACAAAGAGATATTGACCGAAAGAATGAAATAAAAGAAACAGAGAGGGACAGAAGCAAACCTCTTGAGATAACAACGAAGGAGTCCCATCTGGATAAACAGATCACACCTTCACGCTCTGTCCTTTCTCTCTCATCCATTCTCAATTGAGTTGTTACAAGCAGCTATTGCCAACTAAAAGGAAAGAACATAGTATTAACCTGGAAAGGGTTGATGTCCAGGCCAAAGTGTTTAGGGTTACCTTAAAGTACAGCATGATATGCGAGCAGCTCCATCATTTGCTTTGGAGATGATTTGAACTTGAAGTTTTCAGTTTTAGGCAATGAATCAAAAAGGAAAGTCTCTGCTTTCTAATGATTTAATTATTATTTCTCTGCATAATATGAAATATAATACATTAGCTACCCTTTGCGAGAAAATAGCCTCTAAAGATTATAAACTTACATTTTTGACAGAATTAGATGTATTCGAACATACATAAAATATGATTTAATTATTATGTTTCTACATAATATGAAATATAATACATTAGCTCCCCTTTCTGAGAAAATAGCCTCTAAAGATTACAAATTTTTTTTACAGAATTAGATGTATTCAGACATACATAAAATAATTAATTCCTCAATGAAATGTTATGTAAAATATAATGCATTTGTAATATTTTGCAATATGCTTTTCCCTTAAATAATTTTTTCTTGCTAACTACTAGCTATGGACACTTAGTGACTTTCCTGAGGTAAACATGTGACATGTTCACAAACTGTTTTATTGACCTCTTCCGTGGTTGAAACACTGATTGAGCTATTACATGAGAGATTATATATTTCAGTAAGTTGTTTTAACATACCTTCTGATGTTCATTCATGTTTATTTAGTGCTATAAAGTTTAGTAAAGCGGAAGAGCAGTTCACATGTGCTCTGTGCTGCAGTTTGAGGCGGATACAGCGATCAGTTACGCTACATCAAAGAGCTTCAAAAATTTTGCGAAATCTGAGACTTTGTCATAAACAACATAATGTGCATCTGAAACAATATATATCAAAGTTAAAAAAAAATTTTAACTGCTTTAATTGCATTTCTCCACAAACAACTCACTGTAACTTCTGACTCAAATTGAGAGTGTGACATCGCATATATTCAATAATTTATAAAGCTTACTAGACATGGAGAGCTACCTTTACTGAACTGGATCTTCTTCTTTATCCCCCATGCAGGCTCTGCTCCTTTGGGGAACGTGGTCAGTGACTCCCAAACCCTGCTTTACACCCAGACTGTGAAGCAGGAGCCTTTGGATGTGTCTGGAAGCTACACTTATCCTCCTGAAATGCCCCTGGACCAAGGCAGCAACCTGGGCTACACAGCCTCCCTTTTCCTCTCTTCTTCCTCTACCGGTGGTTCACTTCCCCCTACCGTCACAGCCACGGTCACCTCTGCCCTCTTGGGCACCGAGGTACACCACACTCTGAATCAAGCTGGAAGTGGCATCCAAGAGGACAGTGTAACCCTGTCTTCAGACTACAGGTCTCAAGATGTTCAGCTGCCCAACAGCCTGCAAGTTGTGTCTAGGGCAGGAGAAGGCCCAGTCAGGGTTGTTTGTGGGGATCTGGACATGGAAGGGAAAGAGCTGGCCAAGCTGCAGACTGTACAGATGGACGATGATGGAAGTGACCTATGATGATATCATTAGCAATGAAGAGCTGCATTTCACTGGTTTTGTGGCGCCGCATTTTGCCCTTACGGACCCTGTAAGCACAAATCATTTTCAAATGAACCCTGATGATGGATATAAAATGCGAACAGTGCCTTCCTGTCCTCAGATATCCCAACTTGCACTAAGAGGGCTGCAGAATGTACCAGGCAATACACTGACCTTCTGAAGATTATTTACATGCACTGTCTTTACTCTCACCTCATAAAAAAGTGCACGAAAAGACCAGTTAAAAAGCACAAATGTGCTCTGAATCAAAAAATGCAGCTTTATAGTGATTGTTTTCTTTTAACTAGATTTTATTGAAGCACAGATGCGTTTTTTGTTGTTGTTTATGGTCTTTTGTATTTAAATTCTTTGAGTGTGACGATGCAAATTTGATAAAGGTTATTTTGTTATGTTTGGACTTTTATGTTACAGAATTTTTGATTCACACTCTTTCTACGCATCCCAATGTGGACTTTTAAGTATATAATCTTGACCATATAGTGCAACTGGTCACATGTGCCTTCCTCATAAACTGTTAATATACCAGGAAGCTAGGCTAGAAAACAAGCCATTTGTTTGCAAGAATTCATCAGGAATAACTGAAGTACAAGTGTTTGTTTTTGTTTATTTGTGTGACAACTGTTTTACAATGATTTGGACGTGTTTTTCATTTCCTTTAGCATTAGACAATGCCCGGCGCTGAATTCTGTGAGCTTTGTAGGGCAAGATAAATATTCATAAGTTGCGGTCACATTTACAGTAGTTCTGCAAATTTTCATGAGCAAATTACAGTAAGAATTTCAATTCGAATTGGGAATTTTGCATGAGGTAGAAAGATTCCTTGCACCGATTTCGCAACAGGTTCAAGTTAGTCATGCAAATTTGTTTACCAACAGCAAGCTGCTTGGTTTGAAAGGGACTTCTGTGTGAGCTGTGCATAATATACAAATTGGCATCTTTTCAGCCATGAAATTTTGCTAATGTGACTGCACCTTTACACCAAACATGAGCTCTGTACATACTGCAAGAACCACAAGAAACCTTAAAACGTCAGTCCTGCTTGAAAGAAACCTATTTTTCTAAACCCTTCCACCCTATTAAATATTTATATTTGTACATATATAATGAATGATCCAAGTGTCGTCTATGTCACTGACACCGGAGTTTCACATTAGAGTCCTAAGCCTGATAATTCAATAAGTAAAGGGAATGACATCACTTTCAATGAATCATCTCTTGTTGGAAGCACCAGGTAAGTCAGCTATATGTTTTTAACCAATGGCAGGCGTGATGTCTGTCTAAAGGACATCCAAGACGCTATCCATTTAACCAGATCAGGCTACAACTTGGACCCCCTGGATGGCTGGCGGTGATCTCAGACATTACTAATGCATGGACGAACACATATGCAGCATGGTGGAGATCAAGCTTGTGTTCTCACCAGGGGCGTCCTCTGTGATCTCTAGCCAAAGCCTGCCAGCTGAATAAGCCCCGCTCACTCTTAAAGTGTCATATGGTACCTGTCATGACATTACTCAAAGTAAAGGTCATCCAAAAAGCCAGAGTATACGAGGAGAAGTTACATATCCTTATTAGATTTCCTGAACCGTCCTCACATGATCTAGCAAGGATAGGCTTTTGACTCGAACTCTATGGCAAAACGCAGGCTCATCATTAGGTAGATTATGAAAGGGTGATGAAAGATATATACTCTCTTCTTAGTATTACTAAACAGGACATTCTCTGTTCTTCCATATCTAGATATTGTAGTGTATAATGCAATAAGACAGCAGGTAATTAAATTAATGAGACAGGTATTTATACAAACTTTGATTGCTCATAAAAGTGTGAAAGTAGGAGCCAAAGTCAATTTACTGGCGTGGGAACATTTCCATCTCTTGACACAGTTGTCTACACCAGTCCGTGTGAGTCAGCGCTAATTGAATGGCGCCCAGGTAGGATTTGCTCCCTCGCACAAAGGAGGAGACAAAAAAGCACATTGGGTAAAGAATCTATTGTTACCTGCCCAAAGGTGACCCTGTCGCCTAGGGCACCAGATTAGCTGATTGCCAGGTATCAGATGGCGCCTCCTGGAATACTGAAGATTAAGAAAGCACTATTGTCTGTGGCTTTGAGCAAAGAACTGGTGGGTGCAAGAAAAAGGGACATGTGTGTTTCATGTCCCCTATTTCCCCTTGGCAGACTATATGTCACTGTGCGTTTCATGGGAAGCGGTGTTATGTTGCGTTTTTGTATTATTTAAATACAAAATACGTCACTCCATCTCCTTGTACCGTGAATGGGATGGTTTATTGGGCGACCTTAAAGAGCTTTTCATCCTTTATAACAAAAGGCACAGAAGAGAAGAAAAACACCTTCCTTTTAATTCGATCTCCAGTTTCACCAAAAGAATGTAAAGTACAAGGAACGGTCATTCAGTGTGAATGAAGTCAACCAAATATTGCATATGAGAAAAGTACATCAAAATTATAATTTTTTTTTAATGGTTTAGCAGATATGAAGGAAGTAATAATAGATACACACTCCACAAGACACCAATTTTCAGAATGTGTTTTTAAAAACAATGAAGATGTTCATAAATTCTGGAAAAGACAGCTCATAAAAAAGGAGGAACCCTGCAGAAGTGGGGTTATTAAAGAGCCTGACCCCTGACTTTTTCCAGAGGTTTCAAAGTGTGACATTTAGTGAAGCACAGCAGACTGTGAAGCACATGTAACCGGACCCTCATGCCCACTGCGCCACAGCACTATACTCTGTGCTAATGTGAAGTCAAGGGGCAACTGGGTCTAAGACCCATCACTTCTGTACAACCCCTCTTTAATCAAGAGAACAAAAATCTTTAGGGCTATGTTTAAGGTTTGTTTTATGAAAATACTGAGTGAACATTGTTATTTCTGAGGATTCTGAAGTTTTTGAGAGACAGGTTTGTGCACATTGTCACACTCATAGTAAAAACAGAAATTATATAAATATTTATTATTATTTAAAATATTTATATTGTTATTGCAAAATGTTGATGACAATAAATTATTATTATTATTTATTTATTTATTTTACTTCTGGCAACTTAAAACATCCAAACCAGCAGGGGGCAGTGCTGGATGACTTCAATGTCAATAGTCCATTAAATGTAAGGGATGCTCATAAACCATTTTTAAATGCTGTATTGAGAGCTTTCTGGTCTAGGTCTTCTGTGGCTTTGCAAACTTTATCTCAGGAGCAAAATATAGAAATGAATGCTGATGAGGGTGTAGTGAAAGCAAAGACTTGATACCACCACACATAAAAACACAACTCTCAAAATAAAATACTAGTGAAAAGGGAAAAAAATGTGTTCTATTACAAGCTCTCATGCAGACAACATGTGGAGCTACTTCTTGAGGCAAATTTCTGAAATAACTGCAGGGAACTGATCATTATCAGTGAAGTTTCTGATAAGAATTAGGAAAAGACAATAGCAAAGTGACTAAAAAAATTATGTTCACATGAAGAGTTCAGATGCAAAAGCCTCTAAATGCCGTCTGAAATCTTCTTCTAAAATGGGCATTTTTATCAGGCTCCTATATTTATGTTCAGTTATTTCACTTTAATTGCATAGAAAAGGACCTATACATTGCCATTAGAGTAAAATTACTGAACCTAAACATAGCAGCCTGATAAAAATGCCTAATTTATACGAAAATTTCAGATGGCACTTAGAGGCTTTTGCATCTGAACTCTTCACATCATGAATGTCCAGTATGTCATATACTGAGACCCAGCCAAAACCCCTTTTTTATTTATTTATTTATTTGTTTGTTTATTTTTTCATTATAGTGTTTGGGGCTTAATAAACATATGACAAAATAACTGTTGTAAAAAAAGAAATTATATATAATGGTACGGCATAAAACAAGACATTTATAATAATATAATATAATGATTATATATGAATGATAATATAATGATTTTATTTATTTATGATTTATTTTACATTGGTTATAAAAAGTTGGCGTTCACAACCTTACACAATGTCTTTTTTTATAATAACATGATTTTAGCAGCAACTAATACAAATAATACCGAAATAAGTTTCATAGAAGTATCTTATTTCATAGGAACATTTTTTAAATAGTAGGCTATGTAATTAATCTGTAGTGTCTCCCCAGGAGATGAACACACACACACACACACACACAGTCCTAATGTCCTCTGCTGAGGACACAATAAAAAAAATCTATGTCTTTCTTATACAGTGAAATTAAACTCTGCTTAGAAAACAAGAAACAATCTGGGGAAAAAATACAAAGTAAAAGTAAAGAAGTAAAAAATAATATAGGTATAGATATAATAAAGGTTTTCATATTTTTATAAACCAAGAGGAGGAAGGTGCCATGGCCTAAGCCTCAAATATTTGGTATCTCGGAAAATCCTATGATAACTTCTTTAAGTTGTGCAGTCACATTTAAGCATGCACAATCTCAGAGAAATGCACAAAAACTCATGTTTTCAAGAATTACTGGTTCCCAGGAGAATATTGCTAAAGCTATAAATAATGACTTTATACAGAATAGACCTTAAAGCGAACATTATCCATGAAATGTTTGCATCATAAATTGAATGATGCACTGATAAAAAAAGATTTTGTGGTGAAGTAAATAATACAGAAAAACAAATGTAATTTCTACATTAAATAATTTAGTTCAGGCAAGAATTTAAAAAAAAGAGAAAATTCAATATTAGTACTCACTTTTAGCTTGTAGAATTTAAAGTTTGAACTTTATTTTACTTGGAATTGTTTGTTATTTTTTACAAAGATTGTTTAAGTAAATATCAAAGTCACAATCCCATTGTTCCCATCCTGCACTTGGGCATGAATAATTAATAAGGTTAATTTTTTTTGCTGTTTTCGAGATGTATTTACACTGTTTTATGGTTACTTTTGTTGTTAGGTTTAGTAACTTGCTGTTTTGTGACATCTAGAGTTCATTTTCTATTTAAAATGACCCATTCATATTCAAACACTATTCACTGATTGTTACCGTCATTGTGTATCATGTGCCAAGTATTGAGGTCTCAGTGTTCATTAGGATAAAACCTACTTTGGGTCAACATATTACCTTGAAAAGAAAAAAGAGTTGTCTACTTGCTAACAAACATGTTTGTAAGTGAACCACATGCTTTAATGCCATTTTTTCAGTGCTATGTTGTTAGAGTAAAGTTTACATGCTGTGACTGAGAGAAATATACTGA